CAGATTACTGCATTGGTACGGTGTTTCGGATAGCCGTTCCCTCAGATGAATTCAAAATGTCACAAAAGTATTGCTCTTGGAACAAAGTAGACGCAAAGGAAAAATATGCAAAAATTTTTAACAAGGCAAGAACCTTGGCTGTCATAAAGTCAGCCATCTCAGAACTCAGAAGACACAATCTTCAGAATTCTGGGGGTGCAAGAAACACTCATAAAGTTCTCAACCTGGTACTTAGAAAAATTTTCAAAGGTTGGAAAATCTGAGCAAAAGAAAGTAAGGCAAAAGAGGGCGCAGGCAAAGACAAGTGCAGTTCCAATTACAATTGATCCTCATCCAAGTATGAAATGCAAGCCGAAGTTCTATACTTAGCACAATTTTGAAGAATTTCAGAAAAGCAGCTACAGTGCAAAAGACATTCAATCAAGCAGTAGCGAAGCAGAAAAATTGAAAAAAGAAGCATTTCATAAATATGCGGAATAGAGAATTACAGCAATGAAAAGCAAAGTTAAAATCCTAGATTTCGGCAACCGCCCACAAAGCGGAAAAGCACAGCTGCCAAAGATAGTACAAATGCAAAAAGAAATAAAGTTTGTACAAGTTATAGCAAGCTGAAAGCAAAAACTGAGGCTAAAAACAGATGTGGCATTCATCAGTTAAGAGCAAGTTGATCCGCAGGATTCTGAAGACGGCTGCCCGAGTTCCTATGCTTCAACATCAGCATCTGCATCCGCAGTTGGAACTTCAGAAGGCATAGCCGCGGCTGAAGATGAGGCAGGTTGGGCAATTGGAACTTCTTGTCCTGCTTCTTCATCCCTTCCTTCCTGAGCCTTCTCTTCTGCTTGACGAACGAGGAAGGCCACTTCGGCTGGGCTGGCCTCAGTCATATGGGTATCATTGGGATCCATAGACCAACCCTCGGCAACGTCCCAATTAATTGTGGGATCAACATGAAAAGCAAGTCGCCGAGCCGTCTTGAAGCCATTCTCGAAGCCCTCAGCATATTCTTCCTCGGTATAAATCTGAGTTTCTAGCAGTTTTTGAGAAGCTTCAAGATCAGCCTTAACCTTTGCAGCCTCCTCCTTCTCCTTCTCCAGAGAGTCCTTCAGCCTTTGGACTTCACCCTCTAAGTCAGATTGCTTCTTTTCAGATTCTTCTTTCAACTGCGCAATCTGACTCTGATGCTCTTCAATAAGAAGACGCTGAGCCTCAACCTCCTTCCTCACTCTTTCCTCGATACGGGCCCTAAAGTCTGCTATACTTTCGGCACCGTATTCTTGGATCAGAGCGCTCCCTTCATCCAGCCAGGGGAAGACAGTCTGCTCCAAACCCTGGCAGAAGGACAAGAAGTTTGCGCTCATGCTCTGCATTTTAGTCCTCAGAGCCGAGGCTTCATCCTCGGCATTCAGCTGCTTCAGCTCTGCAGACCGAGCCCGGCACTCTGCCTCTTCAGCCCTATCAGCTTTAGACCTCAGCTCGTCATTCATTTCCACAGCAAGGAAATGATTATGAACGACCTGGAAAAGCAGATGAAGAATAAAATAAAATAAGGAGAGTACATTGGCAGAAACCCAGAATAAAAGAGAGGAAGGAGAAATAACCATGAAAAATCACTGCAAGTAAAATAAGCATAAAAAAAAAAAAAAAGTTGAAGGAGGACAGCTTACCTGCATCAGCAGCCTCTGGTTTTCTAAAAAGGGGTCTGGCACTTGAACACGCGGCTCAGACGCTCCAGATGCTGCACCAACCAGCCATGCCCTGGCCCTTTGTAATTCAGGCAAGTTAGAAGACTCGCCGAAGAACTCAGAGGCAGAACCCCTCTTGGACTCAAGGATCTGCCTAGCATTTTCAGGGACATGCACCAATGGGGCTGAGCCGAACCCCATCTCGGAGGACTGAAAAGTCCTAAAAGAGCCAGCGGCTGAGGTAGAAGGCGCATCAGATGCTTGGCCTCATCTTCTTCGGCCTCTACCTCAACTTCCTGCGGCTTGCCCGCATTCTCATCAAGCACTTCGTCCTCAGCCTGGACGATTAGTGCATCAGCCTCTCTCCGGACCTCTTCAGAAAAGTCATTGGCCACATGGCCCGGAGAGATAGGGGGCGTTCTCATTTCAGTCTCCCCCTCAGCTGCAACAGGTGAAGAAATGACCTTCCTGACCTCCTCTTACTGGACCTCCTCCAGCCGAGGCCTCTTCTCGGGAAGAGGAGGAGCCCGGAATTGTCCTGGCCGAACCAGCTGCCTCTTTCTTCGTTCACCAGCCATTCCTTCTTCTTCTGAAGGTTCTGGGACAGGGAAGGCCTGGGAGAGATCAACTATTTCCTCTTCTTCTTCTTCTTCTTCTTCAGACTGGAGGAGGAAAGGGGGGGCAAGGAGAGGTATAAGTAAATATATATATATATATATATATATATATATATGAATGCTGAAGTTTTGTACTTAAACAATTATTCGCAAAAAATGAGAAAATGTGTTTAAGGCTTACGGTGGAGGCCAGTAGACGCTTGTCTTCAGAGTTCTCTTCCTCGGCTTCCTCTCCCCTTGGCTCAGCAGCTGAAGTAGAAGGCTTCGCTTCACCTTGAGGGGCTGCAGCAGCGATCTCAGCAGCAGCAGCAGCTTCTTCAGCCGAATGAAGGAAAAACGGGTCAACTTTTCTGTACCAAGGCTTCTGCCGCTGGTACTCAAGAGCGCTTACAGCTTGAAGCTTTCTTGGGTGAAGGCTGAGAGGCCGATCCTTAGATTCGGTGATCTTCGGCGTATTAGTGAGCGGAACCCTCTCCCCACTAATCCCAAGAACTTCATAGTTGATGCCCGAGTTCTCTTCGTACAGCTCTGAAAAAAGAAAAAGGTCAGAGGTTAGCTCAACTGAAAGAATTCGAAAAATCAGAAAGCAAGAAAAAAGACATATAACTAAAAGATCTTGGCCCCAGCCGAATCCTTTACCGCCTTGGTATCTTCGGCTGAGGCCGACAACAGCAAGCATCTTCTCTTGGAAGATGTAATGGCAGCAAGGCAGCCAGACGCTCGGCACGTTGGCCATTCGGCCAGTAGCCCCAGGCACTTTCTTTCGGCCAAATAACTCCATTTGGCGATGATCAGCCTCTGAAAATTCATCTGGGCCAATGCTGGCCATCTTCGGATCAGGCTTCCTTAAATACCGGGGCCCGCCGAAATAGTTCGGATGCTCTTCATCTTAGGGGGCTCTAACCCAGATCCATTGCCCCCTCCAGTCTTTATCCGAAGTGTCGTTCGGATAGGTCGAGAGGAAACCCTTCTCGTCCTCAATTTGCCAACACCCAGGGCCATGCCATTTATTAGACTGGGTGTTCGGCGAAAGCTTGTGGGTACAACGAAAACAGTGGACGCTCGGCTCGTACCCACAGAAAAAGCAGACCTAGAGATAGGTCATGATCCTTCGGATACTGACCGGGGTTAGCTGAGAAAGGGATATGTTGTACCCGTTCAGCAGCTCGATGACGAAGGGGTGAGCAGGAAATCGCAGCCCATACTGCAGCTGCCGGGTGTAAACCCCGATATACCCGAATGGAGGCCGATGAATCGTATCTGTGGCCCTGGGCATTCGGCACCAGTAACCATCTTCTTCCAGAATACCGTAGAATACCTCAAGTTGTTCGGCAAAACGGTACTGGGCACTGTTTTCAACCCACCAAGAATAGGGCGCAGCATTCATTATACCCTCGTTCTCCCTCACATCAGTCCACTCCCATTCCTCGGGAGTCAACGGCCTTGATGCTGAAGCATCACTTCGGCCTGATGTGCTAGCCTCGCCCAGATTAGCGGGAGGGGCACTAGACAAAGGAACTGCCCTCAGCGCAGCTCCGCTTGATGCAGCGGCTGACCTCACTCCAGCGTTAGGGTTTCGGCCGCTGAGGAAAGGCATCATCGCCAATGGGCGACTCCGCCTCAAAATTAGCTGCGGCCTCTCTTCTTCTGACTCAGAGCTCGACTCAGGCCTAGCCGGCGCTTTTCCCCGGTCACCGGCCATTTTTGGGTTGAACGGAAAATTCGAAAGAGCTAAAGGAGAGTAGTTCAAAAGTTGAAGAAAGCTGAGGAAAATCCAGAAAAAATTACCTCAGTTAGGTGCGGAATTTGCCGATCTTGAACTTCGGAGCAACGGATTTCACCTGGAAGTTTCGGATTGCAGAGAAATTAAGGGAAAAAGATTTGGGAAGTAGAGAAACATAGTGGAATACTGGGTTTATAGAGCAAATGTCGAAAGTGAATAAGGATTTAGGAGTGAGTGGCTTAAGTACTTTTGGGAAATCAGTTTTTCGTAACTGGCGCCACTAATAACCCCATTAATCCTACTTACTCAAAAAACTACTCGTATTCCCCACTCATTAATAACCCAGTAATCTACTCCACTTCCCCATTACTGCTAATCATGCCAAGGTTAACGGTTACCAAAATCATTAACCTTCCATCTCCCTCCAAAAAAAAAAAAAAAAAAAAAAAAAAAAAAACTTTTGTCATCATTTGCTTCCCACCAGCTTCTGCAAGTCAAAACCCGGTTCAGTATTCTTCCCAAACCGAGTCTGGGGGGCAAGTTGTTTGGGTCCAATTTGTCATTAATTAGGCCCGGTTCACAAATGATTCAATTGCAAGCCCAAAAGGCAAGGTTCAATTCTCCGGCCCAAATGCCAAGTCAGTCCAAGGTCCAATCCAAGTGGCAAGCCCACTTGGCTCCAAAGGCCCATCCCTCATCATTGAGCTAAGGTATAAAAGCTAGTCTTAATCATATTTTGCAAATCATTCACAATCAGCCTCAAGCACAAACCATCTTGCATAGCTTCCTTTCTCTCTCTAAAACATCGTATTGATTTCGGCATCGGAGGGGCTTTCCTCGGCACAACCCCCGAGGCCAGTTTACGTGTTTTGTGCTGTGCAGGAAATCCTCGGTTCCAGCATTACTTGGACCGAGCTTCGTCTTCTCCACCAGTTTTGGGCCAGCCGAAGGCCCCCATTGTTTTCGTACAGAACGAATGTCATCTAGGAACATGACTTCTACGGCAGAGATGAAGGGGCTAGAAGCACCTTTAGTGTACTCGTTTCGAGCGAGACAAACCGAAAAAATCTTGCCATGATCAGCAACTACAAGCTCATAATAAGAAGCAAGGCCCTTGCCATAATCACAAATATTCTTGATCGATTACGTGTTAGGATAAATTATAAAAATTTGATATTTGAAAAATAGATGTAATATTAGTTGAGACGAATATATATAACAAGACTCCACATGATTATGATTTTTCTTAACACGAAATCACAAAACGAAGTTAAAGCAAGTTATGAGAATAGTGCACCTAGTTAAACTGTATCATACAATTTAGAACGGATAAAGTATATAGTATATAAGGTTATCAAACATATAAAATAGTGAATCAATTTTAATACATAAATATACATTATAAATGTTAAAAAAAACAAGTATCAAAGGTAAAAAAGTCAAGTATAATGCGGAGTATGTAAAAATTAATTAGATTTTCATATTAAAAAATTTAAATAGAAAAAAAATTTATAGTTTTAAAATTAATAGTGGTTTCTCCCTTAAAAGAAAAGGTTTTCAATCTCTTTTAAAATACAGGGTATTTTTTTATCTCTTTCAAAAAACAAGGTTTTTTGACTTTTTTCGAATTCAAAAGACAAGGTTTGTCTCCTCTTTTTTGAAGGAGAATTTCCTTAGCTTAAAATCCATGATAGTAGATCCAATGAATTGCCGTGGAATTGTTTCATTGGTGAAAAATTATGCAGGGTAGTAAGATTTATCAAGTTTTCGAATACTATCCGATAATTCCGACGAAAATTCGTGATAATAATTTTCTTTCTACTCCATCCCTTCAATTCCTAAACAAATTTAATTTATTTTGTTTGATACTGGAAGGAATTGAAGGGGTGAAGAAGAAAGAAAATTTGTAACACCCCGGTAATCCTCTCATTTAAACCTGTAAAACCTTAAATGAAATGTAGGAGAATAACCGAAGCATTACCGCCGCCACGTATAAAAACGTGAAGACTTAAATCAAAGTTTTGCAGTGGAATTTAAAATTCTTAAAGATAAAAGAAAACTTTCAAATGATGGTAGACTTTAATTAATCATACAATTTGGAACCTTCAAGACCTACCAAACGAAATCCAAATATTTGTCAAATAAAATTCAATACAAAGTATAAATCGTCTTAGGTAATTTTAAATGTTTAAAATAAGGAACATTAAACACCCGCTCTTCACTTATCCCCACCGATTCATGAATATCCATATGAACACCTGTTAGAAATCTGCTCCCCAAATTTTACAAGTGTAAAAATTGGATCGTTACAGGGTCATTGAAAGGCGAAGGCCATGACCAAAAGACACACATACATAAAGCACGTAGTTGATAGAGTCATAATATATAATATTTATATCTATTAAACTCTTATTTTTTTTCTTTTTTATTTTATTTAATTAAATTGCAAATTGGCCAATTTTGACTCCGTCTAAACAAGAAGTAAGACGAGTCAATAAAAGGAAGGAATTGAAAGAGTATGTATGTAGAGGGCATATGGAGTAGAGATTGGAGCAAGAAGGGACCTTTTTTTTTTGGAGTTTCATTTCAATTATCATACCAACCGCTAATTTATTTAAATTATATCCTAAAACCTTAATTATTGCACTTGTTGGTATATGGAGAAATCTATTCATCATTCTTGTGGAAAAACTGGGCAAACTGTTGAGAATTTTCCCAACACTTTCCTACGTCTACAAAAGTAGTTGTATAAAGGATAAGCCAGCTGTGGTTCTACTTTTATATCATACCATCTCATAATTATTCTCATCCTCTCTTTTGTAAAAAAATAAATTAAATTAAAAATAAGAAACTGGCCAAAATGTGGAGAATTTTCCTAACACTTTACTACGTCTATAAGTAGTAGTACTTCCTCCGTTAACGGTTATTTGCAACAAGTGTACCGTTTACGAAGGCCTAGGCAAAATTTGGTAGTGGGAAAAAGTAAGAGAGAAAAGTAAAATACAAAATTGTCCATGTAATGTAAAGATAAAATAAAAAGTAAGTGTGAAAAATAAGGGTATGTTGGGTATTTGCAGTGTGAACATAGATATTTTTTGTCCTAAAATGAAAGTGATGCAAATAATAGGTAGCACCTACTTTTAGTAAATGTTGCAGATAACTGTTAACGGAGGAAGTATAAAGGATAAGCCAGTTGTGGTTCTAGCAAGTTTTATATCATACCATCTCATCATAATTATTCTCATCCTCTCTTTTGCAAAAAATAAATAAAATTTAAAAAAAAAAAAAAAATCATGACAGTGGAGGTGGCCGTGGGTATGGTGTTGGGTGTTGCGCAAACTCTATTTGCAGCATTACAATGCAAGGAATTGAAAGAGTTCTGCTCTAAATTTAAGTATGATTCGCAACTTGAGGCACTCCGAGGCACCGTCGAAACCATCCAGAAAGTCCTACTTGATGCGGATTCCCGGCAACTCGAGCTCAACAATCAGGGGTTGGATTGGGTTAACAAGCTCAAGGATGCTGTCTATGAAGCTGATGATTTGTTCGACAAGTTTGCCACGGTTGCTCAACAACATAAAAGGATGCCTGGCAGTAAGATTTCGAAAAAGGTACACACTTTCTTTTCTAGTGAAAATCGGTTGCTTTTTGGCTTTAGGACATGTAAAGAGATTAAGGAGATTAGAAAGAAGCTAGATGGTGTTGCTAAAGATCATACTCAGTTTGGGTTTAGTGATGTGTATAGGCCAGTTAAGAGAAAAGAGGAAACTTGGTCTTATGTGCGTGAAGATAGTATTATTGGGAGAGATGCTGATAAGGAGGAGATTATGGGTGTGTTGTTGAGAGAATCAGATTCTTCGGTTGATAGTGTTTCTTTTGTGAGTATTGTCGGGATAGGAGGACTAGGCAAAACTGCTCTTGCTCAACTTGTGTACAATGATGTTAGAATTAATGACGAATTTGATTTGAAGTTGTGGGTTTGTGTCTCTGATGATTTTATCATGCAAGAAATCCTTTGTAAGATGTTGAAGTCGGCCACTGCCCAAGATCATGGTGATATAGGAGCTGAAGGGGTGCAGAATAAAGTGAGACATTGTATAGAAGGGAAAAAATATTTCCTTATTCTAGATGATTTGTGGAATGAAAGTCGTGATGAATGGCTCAAGTTGAGAGACTTCTTGCAAGTAGGTGCGAGAGGAAGCCGAGTTGTGGTGACTACACGCTCAAAAAGGGTGGCAGGAGCTATAGGAGACTATCCAATGTTCAGATTGAGCGGTTTGTCAGATGATGATTCTTGGCATTTGTTTAAGAGAGTAGCATTTAACCGAGGGAGTAGAGAGATTGATGATGACCTTGTGGACCTTGGTAAAAACATCGTTAAAGAATGTGCAAATGTTCCCTTGGCTATAAGGGTTGTGGGGAGCATGTTGTATGGTCAAGAGAAAAGCAGGTGGAAATCTTTTCAGAGAATTGGGTTGTCTAAAATGGTCCAAGGTGAAGAGAGCATAATAAAAATATTGAAGTTTAGTTATAGTTATCTTGAGCCACAGTTAAAGAGTTGTTTTATTTATTGTGCACTCTTCCCCAAGGATTACGAGATTGAGAAAGAGTTATTGATCCGTCTATGGTCTGCACAAGGGTATCTTGAACCTATCAATGATATGCAAAACACAGAAGATGTTGGTGAGGAGTATTTTTCAATTTTATTGCAGAGATGTTTTTTCCAAGACGTTATACGACGTTCTGATGGTGAAATATATAGTTGTAAAATGCATGATTTGATTCATGATCTTGCACAAGAAATTGCAGGAAAGGAGTCGTACTTGATGGAGGACACTAGCAAAAGCCCTTTTGATAGAAAATCTCGTCATCTCGCTATTTCAGTTAGGCGCCCTCTGGTGCTTAGTCCAAGTGATACTTTTAGCAAATTGAGTGGATTGCGTACGCTTCTCCGGCATCGTTGGCTGGTTTATGAATCACAAGTGTCCACAATAATAGCAAACTGCAGGCGTTTGAGGGTGTTGGACTTGCACAGTCTTAGGATAAAAGCTTTACCAAGTACAATAAAGAACCTTTTGCATTTAAGGTATCTTGATCTCTCTCACAATAAGGATTTGGAGACGCTTCCCGAGTCAATTAGTAGACTCTATAATTTGCAAGTATTGAACCTAAGATGTTGTTTTAGCCTAGAAGAGTTGCCTAAGGACTTGAGGGAACTAGTCAATCTTAAGCATTTGGACATAATAGCTTGCTTTGATTTGGGTCATATGCCCATTGGAATGGATAGAATGACTGGTCTACGTACCCTTACAAGGTTTGTGTTGGGGCCAGAAAGTTCCAAGAAAGGCCAGACGGGGCAACTAAGAGATTTGGTACCTCTAATTAACCTTAGAGGTACACTTGAAGTTATTTTTGAAGTGGGATACACATACGATTCAATGAATTCTGAGGAAGAAGCATATCTTTCAAACAAGGAACATATCAAGGCTTTGACGATTCAAGAAAATGCCCTATGGCATCATTACAAAATTGTAGATGAAAGATTGCTAGAAAGACTGGAACCCCACCGTGATCTAATAGAAATGACAATATTTGGATATAAAGGCGTGACATTGCCAAGATGGGCAGCCACACTGGCAACCACTCTCCCACGACTTGTGAGCATCTGTATGCGTCATTTTCACGATTTGCAACATCTGCCAGCAATGAATCAACTCCAGCATCTGAAAACTCTTGTACTCACAGACATGCCCAATGTAGAGCTGATGGAGTCTGATAATAATGTTGCACTTTCGTTTCCGTCACTTGTTGATCTGACCCTTAAAAAATGTCCAAGGTTGGAGTCTTTTCCTAGATGTCCACGTGTGAAAACATTTGATCTACTGCGCTTGAATGAAGCACTGACATTTTGTGAACAAAGAGATGATGAAGCAAATGCAACCACCCCTGCTGCCTCCTCATTCTCTGCCTCGTCTTCAAGCGGCGACAACGACAATAATTCAGCTGGTGTTGATGTTTTTGATTTGCTGCGGTTAACAACAGACAATTTAGAATTAATTAAGTCCCTTTTTGGGGAGTCAATACGAAGCATTGGTGAACTCAACTTGCGTAATATGAAGGTGGAGAGTTTGTCGAGTGTTGAAGAAGAGTATCTTCGGAAGTACGCATTTTCCATTCGTAGTCTACGGTTTAATAGTTGCCGAAACTTGAAGAGTCTGTCGGGAGGAGGAATAGAGCATCTCACCAACTTAGCATGCCTCAATATTTGGAAATGTCCTAACCTGGAATTGGAAGAAGATGAAGGGTTTCCATGGAAAGACCTTCACGCCCTCTCTGTCTTAGAGTTGGAGAGTCTTCCACAATTGATAGATCTACCAAAGGGCATTCAATACTTGACTTCCCTTCAAAGTCTCTCTATTCAAGATTGTGAGGATATGAAAACCCACCCGGAGTGGCCTCATTGCCCCAAGTCTTTGCGGACACTTTCTATTAATTACTGTCCGGAACTGAAATCGCTGCCAGAAGCAATCCTCCCCTCCCTCACACGCCTTCGTATATCTCTGAGCAATGGATTGAAGGAAAGATACGATGAACTGAATGGGACAGACTTTTCTAAAATAAGCCACATCCCCGATTTAAGCCTTGAATTTTAGTAACTCCAACTCTTTATGCTTTTGTTATTGATTCCCTGTTCCTGATTATGTTATCGAACCTTTCTACAATTTGCTTATCTACATTAAAAATAAAATTACCAAAACTTTTGGATAATATTGTACTACAACATGCTATGATAGTTATTGTACATTAAGATGTGATTTTGTAGGTTTAAGTTTTATAAAAGACAATTTGATCAATATTTGATTATATATTGACAAAGTTGCTATAATGGTGATGTACTTACTCCAGGTGCACATAGTTCAACGTGATTTAGTTGTTGAGTATGCTGATGGTGTAAATTCAAAGAGCAATGTTAGCTTTTCGTACACTTCTTTAGAAAAAGGACCACGCGTGCTCATTTGACTGGAAAACATTGCTGCCTGTTTGGTCGTCGTTGCTGCAGGGATAAGTGATTCTAGCATCGCTGTTTGTGTTTCACCTCATCTTAACAATGTTGATTTACATTTCATATAATTTGGTTACAGATTTCTAGCTAAGGAATGTGTTAGCTTGTAAATAATGTAAGTAGGCCTTGGCAAATAATGTGTGGGGTCCCCCTAGAAGGTGAGCCTCATCGCCCTCTGATGCTATTCAAGGGCCCAAGCTAGTGTTCAATTTTTTGCTGTTAAGACGGGACTGTCAGTCTGTTTGCTTCCTTTATTAGTGTACTCCCTTCCTTTATTCTTCCAAGTTCCAACGTTCCTAATTATATGACGCGTTTTGACTTTTGACACTATTCACGGATCTTGTTACAATCCTCTTAATGTGTACTTTCAAAATATCAATTTTTTATAATTTTAACTTATCAAAAATTACAGATATTTACGGTTGAATTTATGCATTGGCAAGTGTGATAAAAGAAACATGTCGTCTATTTTGAAACAGAGGAAAGATATATTGTTTTAACATCTATTCACGCTATAAGTATGATTGATTCAAGAAGCACACTGTTATATTGACACTGATCTAAGCCAAAGGTCTTATTATGCATCAACAAGTCTGGTTCATTGCACCAAAAAAAAAATGTCTGGTTTGTTTATTAGTCTGGCTCTGCCGGGCTGATCAAACCAACTCACTTGTATTTTGTTGGTTTTGGGGAATTTCATTTCTTCCATTCATTACAAGGTTCGAGCTTTGTGTTTTACATTGACAGTTTAATCTACCAAAATACCCACTACAGCCAAGAAGCCTGCAGGTAATATTGCCTACCCCTTTGATAAAACGTTCCGTATCGTTATCATCAACCTTTATATCAAACGAACACCAAAAATTCTGAAATTTTGTATTCTTATTAACACAGAAAAACAAGCAAATTCAAAAAAAGAATCGCTTCAAAAGATTATTTTATGAAAGAGAAATATTCATTTGAAATCTGCATTTCCATATTTGTTGTTTTTTTGCATTGCTTCGAAAATTCTACCAAAAAAATATCAAAAAAATTTCAAAAATTCTGAAATTTTGTATGCTTATTCTACGCAAAAAAGTAAGCAGATCAAAAAAGAATCGCTTTAAAAGATTTTTTTATGAGAGTGAAATCTTCATTTGAAATCTGCATTTCCATATTTGTTCCTTTTTTTGCACTGTTTCGAAAATTCTACCCAAAAAAATATCAAACGAACTCTAAAAATTCTAAAATTTTGTATGCTTATTGTACACAAAAAAATAATCAGATTCGAAACAAAAATCGATTCAAAAGCTTTATTTATGAGAGAGAAATCGTACCTTCAATAGCTAAATTAAAATGTACCTTCTTGCTATGATATTTTCCATTTTCTCTCTCTTCAATGGCTAAATTAAAATGAGACCGGATTTTTTATTTTTTCTCTCTTCAATGGCTGAATCTCTTGATTTTCAAATACATAAATCCGTGTTTCAATGCAAAAAATAAAAAAAAAATAATTAAAAAACATGTTCCAATGCATGTAATAATTACTGGAATGCGTGTTCCCAAGAAAATGCATGGGAATGTGATAATTAATCTCAGCCATCCATAATCTTTAATTTTTTAGTTGCATTCCTAATTTGTTCAGATGTGGCTCATTATGAACTAATCTTGTTGCATGATGTACATATTCATGAAAACTGAAAATGTGAAGAAGAAGAAAAGAAAGATTGAATAAGAAGAGGATGATGAGGATGTCTAAGTAGTAAGTACTAGAAGCTAATGAGCAAGAAAAACTAGTTAAGAGGCGACCTTATCAAAGAGTACCTCCTACCCAATTCATGGAGGATGTGTTGATAGATCTTTCGAAGAAACATAAGCAAGTTATTCGAAACATTGGTTTTGGAGGTTTTTTGGAATTGGATTTACCAATCCATACTAATTCTATGTAAGTAGTAGATCTTTCATATTCTACAATCGTACGTATTATCATTGTTATGTTCTAAATTATAATCACTCATGTTTGAATCTCTATACACTAATGTTCTAAATTAAATTTTGATTATGTTCTAATGTATGATTATTATGTTCTAAAATAGAACTTTTTTTATTCTATAATGTTCTAAATTATGTTCTAAAGTTAAATATTATGCTAAATGTTTTAATCTTCTATGTTCTAAAGATTGACTATTATGTTCTAAATCTAGGTGTATTGTGCTCTAAATCTTACATTTTTCATCATAATTCTAGGTTGACAGAAAACTTGGTTATGAATTTTGACACAATGAGATGTTGTTTGATGCTGCCTAAGAGAAAACAAGAAATCTTTTTGGATGCATTTGATGTTCATTTGGCTTATAGGTTGCCATTGGGAGGCAAAAGGATTGAGCAACCAAATGATGAATCAAATCTTAAATGGACCAAGTTTCTAAAAGATTGGAGAAGCAAGTTTGGCCTCAAAAAGGTATGATGATATAATGTGGTTATGTTTTAAATTTTATGTTCTAAAGTATGAATATTATGTTCTAAAATACAGATCTTATATGTAGTAATTTGACTTGTAATGTTTTAAATTATATCTAGCTATTTTTATGATAATATATTGATATAAGATGGTTATGTTATAAATTGTATGTTCAAATTCATTTTTGATCCTGTTTAAACTAGATCTATTATACTTTTTATGTTTTAAATTATAATCTCCTATATTCTAAAGTATTTTGGTTATGTTCTAAAGTGTTTTCTGCTTATATTCTAAAGTACAATAATTATGTTCTAAAATAGATCTATTATATTCTACATTATAAATATAATGCTTATTATGTTCTAAATTATAATCTCCTATGTTATAGATATTGACTATTATTTCCATATATGTTCTAATTTATATGTTTTTATTTTTTTTTACCTCTAAAAAGGAAGTCCAACCAACAAAAGATTGATCGACATAATTCAAGAATTGAAGAAGGAAAAAACAGTTTCTGATGAATTCCTTTGGAACTTTGTGGTATTTGTTGTCAATTGTTGCATCCGATCAACAAACAACACACAACTATATATTAAATTCTTGTATAGTTGTATGGATGTAAAGAAAATTGCTGAATTGGAGTGGTGCACATTTGTGATTGAACACTTAAAAGATTCTGTTATTGTATGGAAGAAGGGAAAATCTTACTATACAGGTCCTTTACCTTTTCTAATGGTAAGTTTTAATTTCTTACCATTATGTATATATGTTATTCTTGTTATGTTGAAAATGTGTGAAAAATATTCTAGTTAATTCTTAACATGTACTAAATAAGTATTTTATTTTGATCGTCTACAAAGAGGAGGGTTAGAAAAACCAAGAAAAAATCCACTAATATAGGTGTGGACAAAGGAAAGGATTCAAGTGAGATATAAGTTTGAAAAAGATCATGGATTTGGATATGGAAAAATCTTGAAAAGAATGGAATCAAATGCATGTGGTATGATATTTGTATATGCTTATGTTTAAACACTACACTTTATGATGATCAAAATCTTGGAAAGAATGGAATCAAAGAGAGAAACGAGGAGGGGAAAAAGGAGAAGAAAGATGATCAAAACTGTGTGCAAAATGTGGAGAAGAAAGAGAAAAGGAATGAGGAGACACCGAAAACACCAATTCCTCCAAAAAAAGAAGCAACCTTTTGATATAACTCCTCCAAGCTTCAACTTGTTGACCCCCTCACCTGCAGTTGGTAATTTTACATTATTTTCAAACTCATTTCTTATGAACTAGTATTTACTAGATTTATTCTAAAGTTACTTCTCATGTTTTCTGGTTATGTTCTAAAGTTATTTATGATGTTCTAAATTTTTTCTGAATCAGATGCTTATGTTTTAAACTACTTTCTTATGTTCTAAAGTATGCGCTTAAATCAGATGTTTATGTTCTAAATTAGGTGCATATGTTCTAAATTATATGATTATGTTCTAAATTAGTTATGTTCTAAAGTTACTTCTTATGTTCTAAATTATGTGCATATGTTCTAAATTATATGATTATGTTCTAAATTAGTTATGTTCTAAAGTTACTTCTTATGTTCTAAATTTTTTCTGGTTATATTATAAAGTTATTTCTGATGTTCTAAATTTTTTCTGGTTATGTTCTAAAGTTACTTCTTATGTTCTAACTATTTTTAGGTTGTGTCCTAATCGTTTCTACTTATGCTTTGATTGTTACTTCTTATGTTTTAATAATTACATTTTATGGTCTAATAGTTACTTATGTTCTAAATATTTTTTGTTATGATCTAAAAGTTACTTCTAATGTCCCTTTATTTACAATTGTCCCAGAAAATCAAGAAGGTAATGAAGCAGAACTCATTCACAAAGAAGTGACAACAAGTGTTCTTGATTGTTCTTTTCTGAATCCAGATCATCCACCTACATTGGATGAAGAGAAGAAGGAAAAAGAGAAGAAAAACGAAGAGGAATTAGAGGAGAAGCAAGAAGAGGAAAAAGAGGAGAAGAAAAAAGAGGAAAAAAAATTATGTTCTATCTTCTTATGTTCTAATTCTTATAAAAAAAAAATTATGTTCTATGTATTTCTACCGATGTTACAAGAAATATATTGTTGATTCATATTAAATGCTAAAATTTTAGTATAAAATATATCATATAATTGTTGTAAAATTTATATTTACTTATTTTATAATATCCTTTCATATTCATCACAAAGAATGATAAGAAAAACACTAGTAGAGATATTCTCACCAATAATTGGACAAGAATAAAAATAAAAATATTATTTCTAAAAATAAATAAAATTGAGTTCTTATGTTCTAAGAATTACGTGAATATTATTTCACTGGCTAGTAAATGAGATAT